AAACGTTTCTAATCCCACCGCCCTCTGTCAGTCTCACTCTCTCTCCTTCTCTTGGCATGTGTGTGGTTTGGGGTCAGCATCAACAGCGGTTGTGTATACATACAACTGGTACATTGTGGTCTTGAAGGAAGGAAAATCGGACTTTGTATGATTACACTACAGCATTCCTGAGATCAAAGGACACCACTCAAGATAGTCCACTGCTACAAAATTACATTTTAAAATGAGAAGTTTTAGAATCACACACAACAAAATCATTTAAGTATAAGGCTACACCAGTACACAAGTATGGCACTTTATTTGCAAGCTCAGTTATAAAAAAATTCACAATTTCAGTCATTCTAATTAGTGGTTGACATACCGGTAGTATACTAGTAATGCACACTCAGCATTTGCTTTGACTTGATCAAGCGACCCAGAAGAAAAAATATAGGTACATGTACATTTATTGGAAAGAGAAACGATTAATAACATACATTTTACAGCATTTTTCGGATTTTAAGAAAGTGTTGTGGATTCCATTCAAATTTTGATGATATTTCAAATAACTTAATGACTCAATATACATAAGGCCTACTGTTCTGAAATTATAATGTACTTCAAAACAATCTACACTTACACTGTGTAGGAAAACGATGACACATTCTTTGTGATTTTAACATCAAATGCCATCTAACAGTACCGGTAGCTCGATCCAACAAAATCCTCCAAAAACCAAATTACAAAGGAGAGTTCAACAATAAAGTCTGTGGGGGTCCAAAAATGCATTGGTATTTTTTTTATCTGCATATTTCTTGGCACTTTAGCTACATAATCTCCGACAATTCAAGATTCTGGTTTTTTTTTCAGAGTTGGAAGGCAAGCTCATTAACATCAATTGGACCTTATCGTTATCAGGTGGATGCCACCAGATTGTAAACGCCTTGTATTTACTGAACACCTGATAGGGGCACATATCTCTGATTAGACTACAATTAAGCTGGTACAAAATCCACACTGAACTACCATCTGCTGGAAAATATACAGCAAACATAATGAACAAAGTGCATGAATTCATTTTGCCTGCGAATGGACAAAGGCATAACAATTCTGTGAATTGCAATACCACAAGTTTAATACCACTATGGCCACAGCCTACTGGACAATTGTTGTAGGGGGTGAATAATAATTTGTAAACAAAGGCACATTTTCTGAAAAGGAAAACTGTTTGACCAAAACAATGTCAAGGATTAGAAAAATGGCCGACCTAATCTCTTGGCAATGATATTTGTTTGAGACCAAGTCGAATGTTGGTCTGAAACTGAATTACCTACTAGTACTATAATTCTTAAAGGCTCTAAGAATTTAACTTTATACGAAGAAACACAACAAAAAATCCATAAATTACAAGTGCAAACTCTCACTCTGTTTGCCATATTTTTTTCAGTCAACCGAATTTAGACTATAACACAAGAAATTGTTAAAGTCTGTACTTGGTACGCATTTTGCAGCAGATTTCCACCCGTTTTTGTTCCCTAGATTCAGGTGCAGTGCCCGGTGCACAATAGGCTGGAAAGCAGAAATACCACACCGCCCAAATAACAAGCTTCACACGCCTAGCATTGATTTTCCTCGCTTGTCATTTGCCACTTTCCAACAAACCAGCATATAATTACACAACAGAAGGTTGCACTACAAACATTGCCTGCCAAACCCCTCAACACAAAAATCGGAATCATTTTTTGGGGAGGACGGCCAGATTATATTTCTTGTGGGTGTTATATTTCTACCAGATGGCTTTGGCCAGCAGTTAGGAAAGGATAGGTTTTCAGTCCATGCTACCCTCTAGGCTGTAACACCTCAAACCACCACGAAAAATGATCCATGGGGTATTGAGGGGGGTTTTGTCAGTTTTGGTATAAGAAAAGAGAGGAGGTTTTGTTGGAGTTGTACCGGTATTGTTAAGGGCTGATGTGTGATTGACAAGGGGAAATTCTTTGAAAGAACTCGTGGGCTTATTGCTGACAAATGAGACCAGGCTGTTCGTGTCTGGTGGTCTTTCTATGAAGTACACAACAGACGTTGACAATCAACTTGACATATAAACAACTTTCCTCTTTCATATTCTAGGACACCAAACAGAACACAACCAAAAGGAAAACCGAGTGTTATAACTCTCATGTATAATATAATATTATACTAAGGACAGTAATATAATCAGAGCAAGAATCGATAATCAAAACCTCATCATTAAAATTCTTGGTCCTGCTGTGCATTATAATGCACAGGGTCATTGCAACCAGTGAGAGGACTACCTCAATAGGCTGGTTCCGAATAGTCGACTACGGTGGGTTTAGCTGAAGCTACTTAAAGTATGGTTTATAGATGTCATTCAAACTTTCTCCATGCTGTTTTACTTGCACTTTAATCAATTAATTACACACTAAAAAATTACTGCATGCAGAAAAAAATGTCCACCACCAGCAATGTACATGTATACTTGTGCGGAGTCCACATGCAAAAACATTTTATCTCGCTCACCGATCCTATCAACAAATTCATTCACAAATTGAAAAGCAGTTTCTAAACAATTATCTCGTGTACACATGCACTGTTGATCTCTGGACAATGTTGATTTATTATGTCTAACTGTAAATCCCTACCAAGTGTCAATGTCAGCCCATGACCTAGGATGTATGTTAACTTGTAAACACCTCCACAATTTATTTCAACGGACAGCTTTCACATAAACAACTGAAGCAAACTTATATTCACCCTTGAGAAAGTATGTTCATTTTAATTTTTTTTTGCTAAACTGGCAACACCAAGAGTTTTACTTCTAAATATTTTTCAGGAAAGTTAATACGAATGAAATTTGGTCTTAATTTTTCATTCCAACCCAACAAAAATCAGAAATGAAAGGTGTTACAGGATTTTGTAATCCCATCTATGAAGGTTGTCTATGAATTTCGTAAGACATCACTACAAAAGTAACTTCACTTTTTATGAACCCTCCCCCAAAAAACTTCAGAACTATATTTTTGCATAACTATAGTAAATATAGTAAATCTTTCAAACTTCACTCCATTCAAGATCTTTGAAGATGGTTTTTAACGAGACCCAACTGCAGAAGTGATACATCAAAGATACAAGTTTACATCGCAAAACAACTCCAAGTTCTTGCAAGATACAACTTCATAAATCAGCCATGTAAGCACTTCATGTACAAGTTCTTGGCAGATCCGGAAGCCATCAAACCAGCGTGTAGATCATTCTTGTCAGCTTCTCATAAGACCACTCTAATGTAATCAGGTGACTGTATTATACTGTGTGGCTAGCAGGCATTCCTGCTAATAGCTGGCATGATAATAGGCCCCAATGGTCAATTATTGGTCCATTCTAATAACAGTATGGTCATTACAATAGACAGGTACAGTTAGTTGTGGTTATAGAACCTACAGTGCCCTCCTTTGATGGCAGTACACAATAGCTCATGAAGACTCATTTTCTTCGCAAATACATGTATATTGCCTGCAGTTGGTCCATGTTCCAACGTTTACAAGTTAAAAAAAAACCTAGTTTATGACAAGACTCTGTTCAAGTTACACCACCACTCTCTGTTTGGGTGACATAATTATATTAAAGATAAAGTTTACCTTCAGGTTTTGAGATTGTCTAACCAATACTAAAAACTTCAAACTCGCTTGGACAGAAAAAGTTTTTCCAACAAAATTTCACCAAACTCAAGGTGTTGTAGATTGGTGGAAACATCAAATCTTTAAAAACGAAATGCAGACAGAAAGAGTTTCAGAAGTTAATCAGAGACAGAGAACAAAAATCAATTCCAAATTTAGACTATTCTATAATAGGTCTAGTGAAAAACATTATCCAAACAGATAGAAACAACTAAATGACACAATGAACATTAAATTCATATAAATTTCACTATTCTTAAATGAACCATAAAGGTTCAACTTTTCAAAAATAAATTTCACTAATAATAACGTTTATAGCATTATGGTTTTAATGTCCTGCCAACTGGTATGTGTCATATCTATAAAGTTATAGTATTATAAATAAGGAAGCCATATAGTTGAAAGTACCAATTATCATTATTATTTGTTGTCTGTCAAGTAGAAACTGTACTATCAGATTCCTAGATCCTAAAGTCACCAATGAAACAGCTGCTCAACAAGACTACTACTTTTTACATCCTACTTCACCCAAGCAGTTTAATTCAAGTCTTGTGTACATTTTTTTGAGTGCGGGTTTTTTAAGATCCGCAATTATTATCATAATAATATCAACTGCTTCGCTCCATGTGTTTGGGTTGAAAACAAAGTCCACCAAACACAGACTGAGTCAACAACCATAAATTAAACACAGCGGAGGCCATAGCATGGCTTTTGTCGTTCAGTCATTGGGAAGAATGGCTGGGCCGGCCATACCATGCTGTGTGTGGTATGGTCGGCCATTGGACAAACACAAAAGACCCAGTCACCTCTATTGTGGCAGCCATTTTGGCTCCTTTTCACTTGCTTAATGAGCTTTGATGCCTCATTGTTCACTTGGTACCACATCATGGGTGGGAGGTATAATGGTGTGCTTGGAAGAGGTACAATAAATATGCCATTTCCACAATATTGAAACACATGTGACATATTTTGGAATGAAGATAACATAAATGACAGTAAGGTCACACACATTACATCAATGCTAGACCTCCACAACATTTACACTTCTCATTAAAATCATTGATAACAGATAACATCCTTGATATGCAAACATCCAACCAACAACCAATGTGTTTAACAATAGGTTAATAATGCACTCAATATAATTATAAAGTCAGATGTGGGCTATTGTTTGACAAATACTCCCCAATACACAGAGGTATATAGCACCTAATACCAATGTAATAACAGTATTCAAGAAGACATGCAAAACAAACACCAAGTTTACAAAGGGGTAAATTTAATTGTTACAGTGAAATTCACAAGACAAAGACAATTTGGACTTACCCTGTACATCAGCAAGCACACCATCACAAACCACAGTCAGACAAGCCAGCAGCAAGCTAGGCATCAAAGCAACCCAGGATCGACCCATGACGATAGCCGGCTTGTTCGGTGGGTCTCTCCCCGATCCAGCGGACCCCTTGGTGCAAATCTCTCTCCAACACCACCAGGATCTGTCACATACCACGTGAAAAAGCATTAGGCTAAGCCATCATATACATCACTCACTGCTGAAGAAATTCATATACATCACTCACTGCTGAAGAAATTCTGACTGGTGATATAAAGATCCCTGCAGCATGTGCAAGCTTACGCACAACAACCGACTAGACCCAGCCAATGTGATATAGTGTGAGCTGTCAGCGTGGAAAATTATGTACAGCAATCGACATTTCATTCCTAGTATACGAAGCAGCGTGTGTTGAATGGGGGCAAAGTCGCCCGCCTGTCCATCCAAACTCTCGCTTTAACGGTGTACAAAAGACCACAGCAACGCTAAGATCCCGATGCTGCTAGCCTCACGCTGTATCATCCACCACACCACTCACCAAAGCTGATAAAACAAACCCCAGCCGGTTAATTGTAATACCAACGACGTACTGAACTCTGATCGCCACGTTATCTTGACCCCGTTTGACGATCGTGAGAGCACTTATAACACCCCGGCAAAAAACATAAAGACCAAAATAAATGGTTACAATGCCTGGAATACCGGTGTGAAATAACACAAGTGAGCACTAAACGCATGCTATCGTACCATCGTACTCACCGAAGCCCAAATGGAAGAATGATTTATGTCCAAGTGTTATACGCGACCGTAAAAGCAACACATTCAATTTACGGTTCCCACGTGGGTTATCGTAGCCATCACTAAACACAACAAACCATACCAAGAGATTTCAACCTTACAACTGCCTAGCTAGCTCTAGGATCGTAGCCAAAGCACGTGCACACGATCTCTATACCAGATCGCTTAAACCGTCTAAGAATTTTCAAAATGACCTTCAAAGATGGACCCAAGAAATGGGCATTAGCATTTTTAGTTCCCAGAAGATCGAATGTCCAGTCTGGCTTGGTATAGCAGTGTTCCGTTCACCGAGGAACCAGACACTGTAAATGGCCGTAGGGTGAAAACTCTTGGTGTAAAAACAGTAATTACCATTGGTTGAAAAGACGGTTCCTGCCTCTGGTAAATAAATTCTTAGCGTGTGTAAAGCCATACAACATTGTCGGCATGTTTCTTTGATGCATATTTGTGAAAAGAGCAAGTTGCAAAGCGGTACAGAGATCGGGTTTTGATTGAGACACAAGATGTTCTATGTAAAGGTTGTGCCAATGCAATTTCCATTTTTTTTTTTAACAACCACGGTTGTTTACGCCAAGTACTGACCAACAAAATGAAATCGCGTTGAAGTCTCAAGAAGTTACCCGCGTTCCTCCCACATTAATGTGCCGCCCCTAATGTAGATGTGTATTTTGCAAAACAAAATACCAACATTATCAAAAGCAGTTATTTACAAAGCTTGCATGATTTTTAGAAAACAAAATACCAACCGGTCCGATTCTTTTTATGATACGAAGTTAATACTTATTCAATAATATTACTCAAAAATAAGCACATGTAATTCAATATTTGTTCGTTGTATACTTATTTACACTTTTTTCCCTTCACAAACATCAAATTAACAACTGAATGAATGTTTTCAAATTCGCAACCTGAGTTTTCCTTTTCCTTTTCCCCAACTTTTTATGCTAGTTTTGAACTGTTGAATGGCATAAGACCAGTTCGAAATCAATTGAAAAATTGTTTTGGTACTACACAAAGAGTCCATTCACTTTCTGCTTCCAAGACTGTGCTTGTGAATTCTTACAGTAACAGTAACATGCAAAAGCTTTCTCAAAGCCTTCCCTTGCAATGCCCGACGACAATGTGATAATAGGGCAAATAAAAACCCCAACAATGAACCGGGAGGGCCGAATCACGAGCTGCGGTGAGTGACAACAAAATGGCCGGGTGAATTGAGAGTAAATCCCCCTATCGACACGGTCGGGATTTGGTGCCTGAAAGCACCGGAAACCGACCTGTTGAAAACCTGCAACACGCAAAGTACACGCAGAGAAAACGGCAAGCTTTCTATAACTCCTCCAATATTAATGTGCATGATCTACACAAAAAAACCTTCAGTGCCAGAACTGCAGTGCCAGTAACACTATGGTACAGAACAACTGCAGTGTTTAATTTACACGATTATGGTACCCCATAGTGTTCATTATACAAGGTCGTTTTGCAGTGTACTGGTCTGTCGTTTACAAGCTATCTTGTTGCGTCCAAAATTATCGAGTTTTAAAAGATCTTAAAAGTCATTCAAACGGTCAGTCTAATGCGACTGAATTGTTGGCCAATCACAACGCAGAACATCATCACTTGATATTGTCGTTTGGTTTGATGTAACTGACAGCCGAAATAATTTTTAGCGAAAACACTCGAGAAAACAAGTTTCATTTCACTGACGATTAATAAGGCAAAAAATGATTGGCACTTTTATAGATCCTGTTGTTGTCAACTCACTTGTCAAGTTTGAGAAAATCGATGTGTCATTTTGTTTTAATAGCTTTCGCGTCAGCACAAACTGCTTCCATACCTATTTTTTTCAACTGGTCTGGGCATAAAGAGCCATTTAAAAAAAAAAATTAAGTTTCTCAGCAAGGACTTTCAGTAAACTGCAAAATAATCAACCCATAAAATGTGCCCGATTACTCAAAATATCATGTTGGATATTAGCACTACCCATTCATTTGCAATGCACACACGCGGTATTGGCGGACCACCCCATGTTCTCTTTTGTAGTCCGTAGGTCCTTGGGCCATCATAGGAGGAGTGGCTGAACCAAACGACCGCCTTAAGGGGGTCGATGAGGCGTGAAAAGGAAATCTTCAGGATGTTTGCGCGGAACATAAGGGTGAGAGGAGGTGTTCACGGATAATTCTCTGGTAAAGTTGTGAATATTTGGGGGAAATTCAGAGTTTTTAAAGAAAGAAAACAAAGTGGTAATACTGAGTGGTAATATCATATTGGAAATTATTGCAACCAAACATTTGCCAAGGCTATAGGCACTTCCCCTGCAACCACGCCCCAAAATGGCCTCCTCATTTTGCATTTGGGTGCATAATTCCTATGATGAATGTTTGTTTGCAAAGTAAACACTTTACTTTTCTGACGATGTTTGTGCATTTATCCCCAGACTATCGATTTAATTATTTGGGAGCCAACTGCTGTAGTAGTGCAGTCTCGTTGGCATTCCAAAAGTGTACTCGGTACACAGAAAGGAACTCCACTTGTATCAGGAGAGGACTTCTCAAGATGATTGTTTTCCTGCATAATATTCACGTGTTGACTCAGCTGGTTGGGAAATGTTATGTACTTGGGACTATACCAAATTCATCTTTGGTAAGATTTACCATTTGAAACCACAGACTGCACATTCGCTGAAACTGGATTTTTTTTTAACCAAAACTTTTAAATGACCAAGGTCTACGCTGAAGCTTTGCTGCAACTTAATTTAAAAGGTTTTGCGTTTGAAGACAAGCATGTAAAGGCAAATAACACAAAATGCAACGACAAAATTAATCAAGTTTAGTCTAGCTCGCTTTTAATTGGTTTCTATGAGTTTCTGAGAATGGTACAAGTTTGCGAAAATAAGAATGGCGCCAAAACCTTAAATGCCGTAACATTTTTGTTGGTTTGTATATCAGGTGCAGTTTGCATGCGTGGCCAGCACATGTCGGTGTATCAAGCGCAGGAACTGGTGCGCGAAATTGCAATTGGCACCAAACATGCATGTGGGAGACATGTTCAACAGTTCATGGCGCCTGGTGTTAATAATAGTGCTGCAATTACTCCGTGAGGAAATTGTAATTATGCAATGAGCATGCGTGTCCATGGATCTTCACGATTTACGTGCATGCCTCATCACGACAAAACAAAACCGTCACGGTAACAAATCCAGAATGCAACACCGGATATCACAGTTTATGAAGTTGTGGGCCTTTGTTTCGAGACGTGGTAATTTTTCTTTCGGGAAAAGGTCGGAAGTTGGAGTTTTTACTTATGTTAGCAATACGTTTATCTGATTGCTTATTTAGTAATGAATTTCTGGGAAAAGTTTGAGCGAGAAGTTGAAGTTTTGATAAACGTTTAAGTTGAATATGAATAAACGCTAACCGCGGCTGTTTAATATCTCTACAAATACAATGTAAAATAGCAACAACTTTATTAATGAACAATCATTCCACAACAAGACGCGGGACTTCCTGCAAATAAACAACAGTCTTAGAATATAATGCCAAAGCATACCCAGCCATAATGGAAAATTCAAACGTAAGGAGATAACGGTTCGGTCGGAATAATTATGTTTACTAATGTTCAAATTGTCTAGCCTCTTCTTTTCCTACCAGACATAATTGCGAAAACCCCTTCTTTGGATCTCCAACAACTTTCTTTTGTCGATCTGACCTCGCCTGCAGCTAAGCAGGTCGGTCGGAACACAAAAACCGCACAAAATCGATCAAAGCATTAGGAGTAGAAAAGAAAACTCCAAACCCCTTCAACATTAGCAAGCAGGCGGTGCCATCACGGGGAAAAAGAGGATGGAAGTTTTTAATTCAAAGGGGCAAGGAATCGAAAGGGTAAAAAAGGCTAGCGGGAATGCAATGATTGTCGCGCAATGGAAGATTAACAAATAATCGATACGATAATCAGATCGGAGATAAACCATCGCGATGGTGCGAGCGAGCATGGAGTTGATTGACATTTTCAATTACGAGCGCCAATAATGTAAGGACATGGAAGCTGCGATAAGGCGTGAAATATGAACTTAGCAGCTTCAAACACACGGCGCGTTCATTAATGGTTAACGATGTGTCATAACGGGTATCGTGACTATCATAGGAAACGAGTGACCTGTATTCAAACTCATGAACTGCATGCATGGACCAACACTATTATTTATGTCATATCAGACGGTTTCGTACATTAAACAGGTTTTAAACATGTTAAAAGATTCATTTCGTGTGACGATCGAAGGCTATTTAAACCTTTTAAGCTTCAAAATGCAATTAGCCGCGTATTAAGTTAATTGACGCCAACTTAAAGTAGTTGATCAATCAAGAATCATCCGTCGACATGGTCATGATGGTCGAGAACATGTATAAACTTAAAAATACCCGATTTTTTTTTCACGATAACTATAACCATAGAGCAAAACAATTAACATTGAAATAAAGCTGAATCAGAAAAGAGTTAATGTTCAACTTTTAAATTTAAAAAGATTTCGATTTCATGTTAGTTATCGTTATCTAGGAATGCTCAATCCATGGTCATGATGGTTAAATTCTAATCATTCCTTTAATATAAATGTCGCTTTTGGCGGTACGGCATGATTATTTAGACACTGAATAGTTCGACTGCATGGCTACATCGTAGATAGCCGAGCTGCCAAAAGGCAGTAATGATGGTATCAAAATAATGAATAAAGACATTAACTCCTCAGTCTCAACATGCTCAAGTGATATCTTAAGTTAACTTCAAGTATGAAGAGCCCATTCCGTGGAACTGTCTGAGAAAGCAGTGACCAGCTTTTGTTTTATGGCCGTAGTAATGTCTGCCTGGTCAGTCCACAAGCAACACCCGTCGTGTGCCGGTCAAGTCGTAAATCCATCCCCTTATCAGCCCGTCAACTGATTTTATAGGCTTGGGTAATTTACTGTTTGTTTTACAATTACCGCTGCCACACAATGACAGTTCATAAAATCACCCCGATAAAAAAGCCACCATCCGGTCAAGATAAACTGGAGGTGGGGAGGTAGTAAAATTTGGAATTTGATGACCCATAAAATAAACGCCATAAAAGTGAAACGGTAGAGTGAGCGTGTTCACGTGCGGATAAAGAAGTATACCAAAAGGAGCTTACCGTTATAGATCACGCGGAAGATGCCGTCACAATACCAGTGAATACGGAGACTAATGAGTTATCCAAAGAGGCTGGGGCTAGGCAGAGAGATTGGCGACTGGTGCTCAAATGAGGCTCAGTAGTGTAATGAATGAGGTATTCACCGTGGAGTGACTGTGCAGACTGGTAGACCGTAGGTGACGTATACGATGTACGCAGTGAACAGATCCCTATGGTCTAGCGGGACTTGTTCGCAAAACCAAACTGGAAGGAGTGAGTGCATCTGTTCCTTGCTCCAAAGCCACGCAGGATGTTCAAGCCAATGGTGTGAAATCTTCCTATCCTCACAGACTGACTAACCAAAGCAACTGACGACTGTTCAACAGTCTGGCACTAGTTTATCTGGCGTTAGAAGCCCAGGCGCACGCTACCACACCACCCCAAGCTTTCGTCACCAGTACACATCCAACAGCGCGCACACACTGGCACTGTTTACCTAACTTCTTGGGCCATGTTGACTCGGGCCCTTTCAATTTCCCATCACCACCCGATAAAAAAAATTTGCATCGCCCCACGCACGGCTCTGGAACCGCTGCCTGCCCCGGCGACGCGCCTGAAGCAAACCCTAACAGAACCTTTCTCTTTTTTTTTGTCAAGTGGGGAAACTTTTAGGCAAATGAGCACCCATAAGGGATCACAAGGGGGTACAATGCCGGGCCCCGTGTAGCGGGAAAGCGTTATCTATCTACCTCAATTAGTTCACATTGATCGGTCATCATTCATAGGGTTTACTGGGGTACTCAGACCACTCCAGCTGCCAGATTTCACACCTCCTTGGTTTATAAGCCCCGCCCCTCCTAAGGGGCCGCTTCTGGGTCCAGATAGGGGAGATTTGCTACCGGATGAAAGATGTTTATCCGTCATAAGCCAGTGCCGTGAAAACATCCATTAGAGGAATTTTAAGTCCTTTCTCTTTCTCTCTTGTTCAAATTCAATGGTTCTACAAAAGAGAGTCGCCATTAAACCAAATACCGGCACGTGTTGTGTGGTACTTTGACTTTCCCGTGCCTCCTTCTTTGGCTATAACGGCGGGAAAATTAGGTAGACGAAAAGGTTCTTCTTTTCACAGAAAAAAATTGACAAAATTAAATCAAACTCACCAACATTATCAATTATTACTTATTAAAGTTTTGAGGGTCTCGATCCATCTCGCACGGCCTTCGTAATATCCTACCGAGATCGAAATATCTAACCCTTAAAACTTTTACCATTTAGGAAGTCAGGTCAATACAGCCATACTGGAACTAAAAGCGAGGTTAAACTTGAAAGTCGACGACTTGTGTTTTGGGAACCATACGCAACCCAACTCAAAAGAGCCAATCACCTGCAGCGTTCAAGACTTAGCCACGCCCCTAATATTCAGGCCAACCCCTTTCCTTTACCAATTTCGCCAGTCAATAAAGTCAACTTGTTCCAGGTGCCGACAAGTCGCCTGAACCGACACGCTTTCCATGTTCACGTCTTGTTCTCTGCCCGGCTGAAGCGCCATGTTTGATAGCTTTTTCAATTTGCCTAGCCTGGGACTATGTCATTTACCCTTATTGTCATAGGAAAATTACAGGACAGACAGACTCTAGACTGTCTCGCAGGCTACGGGTCGTGTTAGCTCTTAATACAAGCAAGCATTATTTTTGTCTGTATTAAGTGAATGACGGTCAATAGCGAATTAAGTTCGCGGTCATGTTATTAAATGGAGTAGGTGCTTTAAAAAATAGAAAGAAAAATCAATATCTAGTTTTAATAATTCTTTCGGCGTGAAATTTGATTTAAAATAAAATAGAACGTCTGTTGGCATTGAATTTGATTCAATCAATAGGCCCTATTTGTGTTCAAGTACAGCGGGGCTCCATATGCACATGTTTGGCTGTAACCACAAAAGTCATTACAAAATACAAATGTCTTTTCTACGACAAAATTTAGCAGGAACGAACAAGTCAAAAACAGTGAATTCCAGTTAGCTGTTACTGGGGAAACCAATAAAAGAGGAGGGGAATAATCACAATGAAACGATACTTTGGATTTGTCATCATCAAATCAATGCTTTAAATTGACCAATCAGATCAAGCCTCACGTAATCACATTCATGAATGATGATAACCTGCTTATAGGTAAGATATTTAAGACGCTGAAAAGAACTATGTATAACACCTTCAATTTTAAAAGTGAAGAACAAAAATATGCTTCAAAAAGAATAAAAAAGGGATCGCACAATAAAAAAGGCCAAACAAAATGATATCTAAACAAACTGTAAAAGGCACAAATCGTATAACACTAGAAACCAGCTTTATTTCAAGAGGGCCGTATCTGTTACAAACTCGGGTAATAAAAGTTGGGGGGAAATGTCCTTAGAACTAGAGCCCGGAAGTGCCAGTCTGAGAAAGCTGCATCTTGGAGGATGTTTCATAGCTGTCAATAAGGAGATAATGAGGCAGCGGAAAATGAGGCAACGGTGGAATCACTGAGAAATGATGCCAGAGGTCAAGCAGAGGTCAAACCAGACACGCTCCATAATGGTATGGATGAGAATGAAGAAATACTGCACGGAAAACTGGACAAGCCATTCGATAAAAAAAACAACTACAAAATAAAAAAATATGGGATCAATCAATCAATCAATCAACTTTATTTCCATAATGCCAAAACATATAAAATAGTAAAACAAAGATATAACAATAAATAATAAAATTGATGTTATTAAAAAAGAAAAGAAAAAAAAAGAACAACAAATTGAATGGTAAATTATGGAGGCACCTTCAGAAGCCTGAGTATAATAATTATGGGAACCGGCCTGACAAAAAAAAAGAAACCCGAAACAACAAACCTTAACAAATACAGTGACAGACTAACAATCAGACAGACATACACATGGGATGGATAAAGGCGACAGATTAAGAAAATAGATGAAATAAATCACGCAACTGGTACAAAAAAATCAAAACAGAAAAAAAAATCAGATGTATAAGTAAAAAAAAACATAATCGAAAAACAATATATAAATAAACGGATGAATCAGTGGATCAAAATAAATAGCAATAAAAGAATCTCAAACACAGGTTAAACATAAACAAATAAATTAACAAACAAAATAAAACATTGACAAATTGGAGAATTAACAAAACAGACAACAAATTCATAATCTTACATAAAGTGAACAAAGAAAGGAAACAATTGGCAAAAAGAATACATGAAGAATAAAAGATAATAATTAATAAAAAAAGACCATCATACATTAATGAACAAATAAATAAGCCAGTAACAAATATGAACATGTTGTGGTGAATAAGGCGAAATCAATAACCAAAATGTTGTATCAAAGATAATAAATCATGATAATAGTTGAAGAACTGCAGCATGTGAAATTTCCTTACTTTCCAAAGTCAATTTTGTGAAAAGTTTAACTTTTAGGGTTTTATGTCTACCCTTTAATGAAAAGTTAAAATGAACAAGGGGGCCAAGAAAAATTAAAACACACCAAAAAAAACACTGCACCTGTTTTTTTGCTGTTTTAAAATAAAAAGGAGATTACAAAACTTGGTCAAATAATCTTGCTTTATTTTTTAAAACACGACCTCAAAGAAAAGGCCAACCTTTTTCATTTTTTGATATCATTTCATATTCAGTCTAATGGAGGTCACTGACTGAACAGCCAAAAGGTTACACCTCCTCAGTGCTTCTCCCGATTCTTTGAAAACAACGGATGGGCTGGAGGGGAAACACACTCCATCTCGCTGGCCAGGCCTCCGCCAAGTTTCTACCTTTTCAGAAAATAACCTCAGTATTCTATTTCCTAACATGTGGTCAATCTACATGCCTCGTGGACAGGGAAAAGGCTGCATTGGTGCTAACCCAAATTAGTGACGTGGTAATCGGAGAGCGGGATGGCCCAGATTTGGACTCACACGTTGGTGATTTATCTGGACCAGACAGCCAGTTTAGAGTGCGAGGTTCTTACCTTCCAATTCCATTTGTCTGATGGTCTGATACTGAGGGATTCTCAGGCTGTGTCATTCTAACTTCTTCTGACCTACCTTATCAAATATCCTCTACTTTATGATGATGAGAATGGGCATAGATGGCTTTTCAGGATATGTTAAATAACACATTACACAGATTACAACTGCCATGCACTGAAAATAACAATAGTTTTGTTGAAGAACTAGCAGTAAAACTATACAAAAATTATACAGACTTGATGGGAAAAAACTATGCAGAGAACTTCTTATTTTACTGAATGAAAAAAATTATGCATTGAAACTACAAATCCATTTTCTCAGTATCCTCTCCATTAAGATGATGGTATGCATTATGGTATTAAGTTGTATCAGCAAGATTGGAGGGAATTTTTCTCCTAACTGACCTGAGCTGACCTCTGCCTGTCAGAACAGGGAGTCCAAGCTCTTTGATTTCAGCCGCTGCCTCAGTCTTACATACACAACCAGCATGTGTGGAGCAAAGATGATAGATGGCAAGAAAAACCCAAGGTAATGTTTGTTTGGATGTAAGGTGCCAGCCAGCCACTTAGAGTTCAAAGGTCACATAAACTCAAGTACTTGGTTAAAGTATAGTCTGGCAGGCGTGGACTTTACCATATGTATAAGTACATCCTTGAACTATCGGAGTCCGAGGACAGACAACCTCAAGTGCAGAAATTTACGCCCTGGTCAAACAAATATCGTCCCAACGACTTTGGGTTATTAGTTTTGGTGAAATTGTTGGATATGTCAACAGATGTCCGACTTGAGACAACATCAGTTAGACTTATGGGCAGCAGACTTGGCATTTCATTGCCTCTCACCTCCGAGACAAGACTCAAGAATTTCAACAGCTAGGGCTGTCTGGATGGTTGCAGAATTTGATGAGACAAAATATTGATTGAGAAGCATCGGACTTGAAGTTCGATGAGTACATAAAGATGGCTCCCCCTCCCCCCCCCCCTCCAACCACAAACGAGTCACACATACACAGGCTCCTTTTTTCCGACTTAAAACAAAACAACTGGAACAAGACCATTCAATAACAAAACAATTGACACAACCTTAGTGTACCCCTTTAAGGAGGTGGAAAAAAATGCCTAAACCCACTCTCTTAGATGGCTTATCCGGTTTTCAAATGCCCAAAACTTTCAGAAATACCTTCTGAGGAGGGCATGAACCTGTCCATTAGATGTCAGTCAGTAATGATGGTTTGAAGGTGGAACTAACGCCTCACGCAATCACCATACAGTCTGCCCTGGAGTGGTGAAGCTAAGTGATATGATCTCTGCCCTCACCAAAAGCTGGAAAGAAATAATAACAGAGAAAAGGGACGAAGATATTGTTTAGTTTGGTGAAGAGGAAAGGATTTCCCGGTTGAAAAAAGTTCACACAGAACAAAGCAGCCTTTGGTAGATTGGGTCTCAAAGTCTTTACCGGTCATTCTTATTGGTTAGTAGGCAAAAGTTTGATGTCCACGTTTTTGACCTAGGGTAAATTCATAGAGATGCTAGGAACAGAATATTTGTTGACAACAGAAATAATTTGCTAGGCAGAAACAGGGTACCAGCCAAACTGGGTTGGGATATGTGTTGCTCCTGACTGGTTCCCTGCCGT